TAAATTTAAGCCAAACTATGACAGAAATTTTGTATTCCCGAAGGCACCCAGTTGGTGAAGAAAGTCTTAGGAAAATGTCTAATATGTCAAAAATATGCAGTAAAACCAGCAAAACAAATGAGAACTCAGTTACCTAAAGACAGAATTGCAGAAACACCACCTTTCTACGTTACCGGTGTGCATTTTACAGATCCTGTTTAAATCAAGCCTAGAAATGACATTCAGAAATCCTACATTGTATTGTTTAAATGCGCTGTTACTCAAGCGTTTCATCTAAAACTCATTTCCAATATGTCTGCAAATAAATTCATTTTGGCTTTCAAACATTTCATCTCGAGAAGAGGAAACTGTTGCACCTTTTAATCAGGCAACGCAAAGACTTTCAAATATGCTGCTAAAGATTTACAGTATTTTTACAGCATAATTATAGGAGCAGACTTTCTAAATTTTCTAGCATCTGAAGGCTTGCCTAGAAAATCTACCATAGAGTTTTCTACGCATACCTTACGAAAAGCATTAAGGAAACATTAAAAAAGATATTAGGCAGAGCTCAACCAAATTTTGAAGAATTTATGACTGTACTGATGGAAGTCAAAAATATTGTGAATAGATGTCCCTTGACCTACCTCTTCCTGCCTTTTCCTCTGAGATTTAGATCGAATAATTCAAGTTTTTAAAGGACATGATGGTTTACAATGATTTACATGAACCTGAACTGCTTTCACCAGCTGATTTTCTATTGATTGGACATAATGCATGCATGGTAAAAACTAAAAAGGGGAACCTTAAGAGACCTGTACAACTGATAAAACCCCTTGAACTATCAGACTGAAAAATTTACTAATTTCATAACATTTATTTTTATTATTATATTTCATGTTTACTAGCATTTAATTTTAGTTAATTAGTTTAGTTATTACTAATAATTTACTGCTTGTAATTCAATTTCATATTCATTTATAGAATATAGTTATGCTGTTAACTACTGTTACGTTTTGTTTTCCTGACATCAGTTGTTGCGTTTGTACGGGGTTCGTGTGGATTTGGAGTGAATAATGACGACACTTTGATGAAGTATCCAAACGCACTTTATTGGCTAGTATTAATCAGGACAGCTCCAAAACACTTTTACAGTCATCGAAGATCTACTATAAACACGCTGGAACAACCAGCGACACAGCCTTCACACTGTCAGGCAATAACGGTGAAGACAGCTTCACTGCAAAGCACCACTCGAAACTCTCCACGCTACAACTTGCGATGCACTCGATGACACAAAGAGCACAGCTCCTGACTCTTCGGTTCAGTCGTTCCTGGAGCTTAACACACTCTCTCAACGATTGCACTCACTGCGATACACTAAGAGACTTTTCGATGCACTCGACGACCCACTTGGAACTCACTGCTCGGCTGTCAACTCGATCGACTCCACACAGACTGCCTAACACGAGACTAACTATCTTGCACTCCAGACGATGCACTGACTCGCCCTCTCGATGAGGCACTCTCACTGACTGCGGACCAGCAGGGTTTATATAGCTTTTGGCTTGTGTTCGAGAACATTCTGGGCTAAACCAGTTAGAATTCATTCCAGAAGGTTCTCCATCCATCCATGGTATATCAGCAATTTTTTTGCCAAATGAGGCAGCCCCGTCCTCCCTTGCCATTTTATGGCAACCCTAAAACTGCTTTGTGAGGAAGCCATCTTACCACGCCTGTACATTTCGTAACACTAGAGTTTCCCCTTTGATGTTTATGTTTACATCAGGTAAATGTACTTACTTGATATGCAAGTTGCTTTCTTGCATCTGAATTTTTTTTTTCCCCATGCTAAAATGTGATAATTTTTGTAAAATTATCAGGTGAAAAATGTTGAAAAATATCGCAAACGATTTTTGTATCATCATTAGAGGGGGTTTATCTTCTTAGATAAGAATATTAAGTTTGTTTACAATGCAGAAGTCTAAAAGAACCACCAATGAATTCCAGGTTTGTTTAAATAAAAATGATTATTTTATAAATTGTTGAAGTATTGGCTTCTATATTAGTATTATAAGTATGCTCCACTCTTTCACCAGAATTAAATTAATATTTTTTTTATAGAAGCTTTTGCCACAGAGAAACACCTTTAGGTAGTGGAACAAGCGAAAAATCACTCGGCGCCAAGTTTGGACTGTATGCTGGGTGGTCAAGGTCTGTTCCTATGATGAGATTTTTAGTGTGAATGGCAGAATGGGGTCTGACATTGTCGTGCAGCAACAAAATTCCCGATGTCAGAGGATTCTGCATTGCTCGTCTACGCTTAATCAGAATAGACTAACAAGACTCCATGTCTATCCCCAAACAAGATTGCCATAAACATGCGTTTTGAGATTGTCTGGTTGGCCTTAACTTTGATTGGTAGTTCGTGTGATGCATTCCATTGACTAACGTTTAGATTCTGGGGTCATGTGAGAAACCCATGTCTTGTTCCCTGTGACAATCCTCTCTAAAAATTGACCCCTTCCATATGATATTGATCCAAAAAATCAAGAACACAAGTCACTCTTTTCATTTGCTGGCTTGGGAATCCAACATGTGCTCAATTTGTGAAATTGCAATTTTTTAGAGACAATTGCATGCCAAGTTGTTTTATCCACATTCGAAATTCCAATGCTAAAGCTAAAATTGTGAATTGCCAGTCTTGATGAATCTTTTTCTCTACGGAACTGATGAAATTATCTGTGATCAGTGATGTTTGGCCTGATAGTGGTTCATCATGGACATTTTCCCATCTGTCCATACATACATACATTATGAGTTAACATAGAACATATATTATGAATAAATGAAAGAATTTCTTTATGATCACAGGAACTGAACTCCAAATAACCAGATTAATTGTGGCTACAGCTCATTTACACATCAAAAGAATCTAGCTGATTGTGGTAGGTTTTTACTTCAGTCTAGATATGTACTTAAGAATGACATAATTTTATTTTACTTCATTCATTTTTGTTTATGATATTTTATTACAACACAAAATTTCACAGAAAATAAAGTAATTAAAGATGCCTATATACAATATATTAAAAGCTTTGCCAACATTATATGCTATATATCTGCCAAATATTGTAATCAACCAACTTGAACATAACATCTAAATCAGTTTAATAACTTCTCATAATATATTATATTTTTTTCATATTAACTGACAAAAAATCAAGACCTCATAAATAAACTAAAAAGTAAATATCATTTGCTAGAAAGAAAAACAAGTGATCTAGTAGATAACTGGAGTTCCATCATACATTAAAATAACAAACACATATATGAAAGCCTAAAATGCAAACAATTTACATGTAAATGAAACTTCAATTTATTTTACATCAACAAATATTATACACACTAAATAAATATAAAAAAGATTGAAAATTTCAAAATATGTGAAATTAAAAAATTCCCATCGGGAATTCTAATTTATGATTGTTTAAAACAATTATACAGTAAACCCTTGCTGAGTATACATTTGCGAAACACAATTTCACATATACATGTTATCTGAATTATTTCCATTTAATTTGCCCAATGCTAGAGTTTCATTCATTTGCCCACCAGCGGCCGAGCGGTAAAGTCGCTGAACACTGGTAGTTCGGTCCGAGGTTCGAATCCCAGGAACGGGCTGGCTGCATGGGTGTTTTCGTGGTTTTCCCCATGTGTAACGTGTTTACGAGCCAGTTTCCCTTAGAAAGTCTTCCACGAAGGCATCCCTCCTCTTAGGCAGATAGCCCTAGTGTGCTTTGCCATAATTAAATACACCACACCACCATCTTCATTCATTCACCAATATTGAATGTTTGATGGCATTAGATCTGACCAGAAGCTGTTAACAACTTTACAGGATTTCCATAAATTGAAAGTGATGCCTAAAAATTGTGTAAAATGCAAAAACAATTGGCGATGAAGGGTTTTTCATATACATAAGAAACAGACGGAAGGAAGAGTCAAAGAAATAATCAAGAAATGAATGAGGAATGAAGAACTTGATGATCTTAGAAACCAACTGACAGTGAAAGAAATGATAATAAGGATGAAAGAGCACCTTTATCCTCCAAGATACTAGGTTATATCGATGCTGAAACATGAAAAATGTTCAATGCCAATTGCCGGGATTTGAATGCCGGACCTCCTGAATAGTCATCGAGTGTGCTTCCACTTACACCATGACAGCATGTGGAAAGGAGGAAGAAAATACCTTCTACACTGACCATTTTAAAGGGTAATTCGGGATGAAAGAATTCAATCGCCAAATCCTGGTGGTGATCAATTATTGTCTGCTAACTTTTAGTTTGAGTGCAGAATCATAGGGAATTTTTGAAGACAGGAAACTGAAGAAATCTGCAACATCCTTGCCAGGACTTGAACTCTGGACTTCTCGAATACAAGTCAAGTGTACTTCCAATTACACCATGAAGACATGCAGAAAGGAGGGAAAAAATACCTTATAAAATGAATGGCTAAAAAATGCAGAAACTGTCTCATTTTACAATGGAAACTGACCCAAATGAAGATAGATGATGTTACTTAAAGAAAGGCAATAAAGAATTTTGTTCATCTAAATGCAAAACTTTTAAAGAGTTATGTCAGTCATTGTCCCACGCACAAATCACCAGCTCTTTTAAAAAATAATTCTATTATATACTTATTAGGAAAAATAAAAATCCTTTCAATTAACTTTTGTTCCATTTTTGCCTTTTAATGACAGCAATATTTAGGTTTATTTAAATTATGCATACTTTTTTTAATCTGAATTACATCTAACACATTTTTTCCCATTTAACTTTGCAGAACACTATTTTGCTGCAGATGCAATATATTAATGACACAACCCCCATGTTTAACAAGAGCTTACTGTATAAAAACAAACAGAACTGAATACTATGTTCATAATTTTATTAAAACAACACTGACTACTGAACTTATTATGTGATACCAATCACTGAAAAATATGCAAAACTTACCAGCAATGGAAACAAAAATGCAGCAGATTTAAATAGTTTGCAACAAAATAAAAGGCCAAAAAATAGAAGTTGCACTAATGTATAATACTTGACTTGACGGATTGGGACATGTCGCAGATAACTATAGTCAGGCTGGTATTTTTCAGGCATGAACATCAGAAGAATTCGATCAAAGAACTAAAATGAGACAAGACATAACATTCAGCAATATATATATATATATATAAATTTAAACATTTGATACAATTCAAAGTTCAAAATCTAAATGCCCAATATCTAGAATGATCTAACATCTGAGCCTTTAGATAAGGAGTCGGTAATCTGTGGTGTGCCAAACCAATCTACTAGCATGATTCAGGGTGCCACACAGTAAGAAATATTTGAAAGAATTCGATTCCCGCAGCAGTGTATGCAGAGTTAGGGAATAGAGGTCAAAAATACAGATTTAGAGTTTTATTATATATTATGCATCATTTAAAGGTATTTATTAACGTAAAATATGCTATTCCATGAATAAAAATAACAAGTTTAACTTATACATACATTATCTATTATGTATCTTTTAAGCATATTTATTAAAATAAAAAATAAACAACATACAATTACATCATAATAACAAAATAAGGCATTATTCACTTCAGTATTTCCATCAAGAGCAAAGCTAAATGCAACAGTTTCTTGTAATCTAGAATTTTGTTTTGTTGTTACATTTTCTGCTATTTCAGTTATTCGTCTTTCACACAAAAATTCACATAGAAGCCGATATTTCTTGAATTCGGCATATCGTTGTTTGCAGACTTGGTAAATCATTGAACAATATTTCAACATCTTTTAAAAATGTGTCCTTTAATATATTCACCATCTGGGAAAAGTTTTGACTTTGGCTAGTACATAATGCACAATTATGAAACTATATTTGCCGCTTTAGTTTTGGTTCCAATTGTCCGACAAAAAATTTAACTTGTTCCTTATATCCAGAAACAGCTCTATTTATAACTTCAAATTTCTTATCAGAATTCTGAAATGTGAATTGGTGTTTAGTTTGAAAATGTCTCTGTATACTTAATGTGCAACATATGATGCTTTGCGACATAACACACATATAACACGATTCTTTATATTTACGAATATATATTCATTTGCCCAAGAGTCTTGAAAACCGGGAACATTAGGCTTTCTTTTTTTTTTTTTTAGAGCACATTTAATTAAATATGTTGGTATGAATTGTCACAATTATTAAACAAACTAAATACTAGTTTTCACAATAAAACTAAGAATATATTATAAATGTAATAGTAACCATGATGATGCACGATGTGCATTGATTAAAATCATATTTGAGCATCAGTGTGACGAACCGAATGAAAGACTAGAAAATGCATGAGGAGTGAAGTGGGTCAGTGCAGGAGAAGAGATACGCCATTATATTTTCTTGTATATGATAACTTTTAGAATGATGTAGACAGGCCTGCGCCAAGCCTAATTGACGCCGTCATGCAAATGTATAGCGAGCGCCTTTATGTTGTTGCCAATCTAGAGAAACTAAGCTTTGCAACAACAAAGTAATGCCTTCTTTTATTATTGTAAATTAAATTATGCTTAATTCACTCTGGAATTATGATTTAAATTATTAAATTATCTCATATATTGACTCAGCATAGCGTCCACATCAAATTAAGTCAGTTTCTATACTTTCAGAGTCTTTTCGCCGAGTGATATCAAAAGTAAACTTTCAGTTTTGTGCACCGAAAAATCTGTCTTCTTGCCCGCTGGCTGTATTGCTTGTTTTTGCATAGAAACTGTAATTCTAATTGTAAAAATTGTTTTTTAAATTTTTTTAAACTGTATTTGGTGTTTTAGGTTTTTCTACATCTTTAAATTTTTAATGAAGATATTTTGAGGTTTTATGCATTTTTGCCTTGCCACGAAGTGAGAACTGAATTAATCAAATGAGAAATATATCTCTAACGAAATTCGAGGAAATAAGTGTTTCGTAACAGCAGCAAATACTGTCGACAGTCTGTCTCGGACAGAGGAGAATGTTTACGAGTAGGACATGTGCATCAGGTAAGCAATGCTGAATCGTCTGTGAAAAACTGTTTAATTTTTATTTGTTTAATTTCTTTTATACATCATTTTAGATTAATTATAGTATTTGAATAAAACATGTGGCAACAATCACATATTTTTTTTTTTTTTTTTTTTTTTTTTTTTGCATTCTGAGTTATAAATGAATAAGATGTAATGCTGTTAAGTGAATCTAGAGTCAGAGTATCACTATGGTAAATAAATATAGTGAATTTTAAGAAGTGCATTTATTCTATCGTGGTTTATGGGCTATTGATGAAGTACATTTAATTCAATTCAATAAGTTTAAATGAAATGCAGGGAAAAATTGTGTACAATTTAATATTCCATAAAAGGAAGTCATGTGGTGTACACATCATATTTTTTTAAGAAGGACGACTAAACCTAAATTATTTATTTAGATATTTTCTGCTAAGATAATAAATTCTACAATAGCAGACAGTAAATTTGATGCATTTGAAAGTTCCATGCCATCGCTGAGTTGCAAGAATGTCTCTCCTTTACATATGCATAATATTTATACTTTAGTTGCATGAATGATAGTGATATACAGTCAAATACGAAAAATCCGCCAACCTGAAATCCGCGCTGCCTCTCAAAATATAAACATTCAGTTTGTAGGTTCCGGAAACCGCAACATTGAGTACGAAATATCGAAGAAAAAATCCTTACCGAATAATGACGTCATAATTACAGAATAATAATGAGTCATAACGGAAATACCAAATTATTGACATAAAAAAGTAAAAAAAAAATATGATAAAAGTTTTCTTCCTCTAATCTCTGCATCAAGGTAAAAAAGCAGATGATTCACTCAACTCTTCAAGTTGTTGTATTTTCTGAGTTTTATTATTTCACGAGATTGTTTAGTGCTGCCCTTTTTTTTTATATCCTGATATTTTGTGGATAAATTAAGAATATTTTAAATTTCAGCCCTTTTTAATTCAACGACAGATAAGAAACACACTTATGATTTTACTGCCTGCAACGTTGAAAAACGTAAACAAGTTGCATTGACGGTAACACAAAAAAGTGCAAATTCTGCAAAAGATGGAGACAGGTGCTACTCCTTGATTTATAGCAGAATGATATGGAATTGCGACACGATTGTGTATGATATACAGAAAAATAAAGAAAAGCTGTTGAAATTTTGCAGCAACAGTGATTCTAACACCGGAATCCGAAACTGGAAATCTTTGCATGAGGCGAAATCAGCAAACCTCGATGCTTTGTACCTATAGTACAATAAATAATATAATCAATTTATATATGTAATAATAATTTAATGAATATAACAATTATTGCAATAATGTATGTAATATTTTAATTAAATGTATCTAATACGCCTTATTTATTTTGCACTTTTAGTCCGAATATTATGTTTTATCTTTTCTGCCCTGAAATCCACAAAATCCGCACAACCTCTGGTTCCAAGCTTTGTGGATTTCTGGACTTTTACTGTACTAACTGATTCAAAAATAACAGCAAGAATAAAATTTCAATAATTTGAAATGTATGGGCAGTAGAATTGATGAGGCTTTCACAGAAATGGTGCAGATTTTTTTAACAATGAAAGATTTTATTGCCAAGTTTGGTGGTGACAAAGGAGTGCCAGAATAGTTAAATTTTTTACTAACATGTGGTGCTTCAGTTTGTCAGAAGTTCACAATGAAGTTAGGATTATAAATGTTCACTATGATAGCTGTCATTCATGAAAATGGCTGCAGATGAGGCACAACATTGAAAAGTGTTCAGCTGCAGTTCCTATCGCATAATGGGAAATTATTTCTTTAATAATATCAGCTGCCTCTGTACATCTATGACTTTAAGTAGTCTCATTATTAAAAGTTACAAGATGTATGGTTTGAACATGCTGATGGCTATTCTTGCAGGAAAGAGAAAAAAGATCACAATCATTGTGATCATGATGAAATGTCAGTTGCAGCAGGTACTGGGCAGGTCACATGCAGAGGTCTTTCATCCTACATGAATGCTATATTATGAAACACCTGAATCTCTTCCAAGGAAGGAATTATACCATTTCTTAAAAGTCCTGCATAATGCTTGACTTTGATAGAAACAGTTTGAAATGTACTGCTGTTCAGAAAGACAAAGGGGCCTACAATGAATGAATGATGGAGTGAACTTGTACCACAGTCTCATCTTCGGCTGATGTAAAAGGGTTTTCACAGTCATATACGAGTTCTCTATTGCTCTGATGTACATATGTGTACATTTATATGATAAATAACAACCCGTTTGCACTGTTTTCCATCTACTGAAAAGGTGCATCTGCAGATTCATGATGTCTTTCAAAACTGAAAGGATACAACTTCAGGATTGTAGTAAGTAATCGCCACACAGTCTCATAACAAAATGATCTCATAACTTAATCTCAGGTTATGGAATGCAGGAAAGTCATACGATTACAGATAAGAAAACGAATGCCCTCAGGTTTTCCACCATTATGCTGCTGTTCTGATACCACTGACTATATTTCCTGATGACTGCATTACTTGGGATAGTACAAATTACAGCATCACAGCTCTTGAGTGTTAGTCATGGCTCAGTGTATACATACATTCTCAAACACCAAATTATATCTCTTATCTTGCATTTTATCATGTTTAACCATTCCCAAAAGCTTATTACTGAGTTATATTACATTTAACAATTTTAAATAAAATGACATAATCACAATTTTGAAAATTAAGTATTATCTGTTTAAAATTTTATATTGTGATAATTTCATACCAATTGATTAAAAGCTAAAATATTTAACATTAAAGAAGCAAGTTCCATACAAATTAAAAATGAAAGAATATAAATTTTTTCCTTTCCCTTACTTACCTGTATTCCTTTAAGAGAATTGACGCCCATAAAAAGGAAAACACCATATAAAATAGGCATTGGTATAAACTAAAAGAAAAGCACATATTAAATTTACAAGAAAAAGTGATAGGCAGCATGCATGAAAACAAACAGGATTTTAAATTTAATCAAAAATCAGTAATAGATTTTAAGGATGCATAACTACCAGCTGTCACAGATAAACAAAAGTGCTTCTCTTTTTAACCCTTGTTTACAACATTTTCTTAAGAGTTATAAGAAAAGTAAGGCAAGAGATGAACATGCAAATTTTGATCTAAAAATAAGAACTTGTATAATTAATTGTATGAATATTTTAACTACAATGACTACACACTGATTCACCGATAGTCCAGGGTTTGTACACATTTCTCCACATGAAAATGAAGTACTTGAACATCAATGAAAAAAAATTAAGGACTTATCATGCAAACATGAACTGAATAAACTAAAGCAATTATCTACACCTGAAATTCACTTTTGTAATTTGTAAGAAAAAAAAGAAATTTATTAGAAGGATGCATTACTATTAAACATAATCTAATAAAATTCCTTGAAACATTTATATTTTATATTTATAATAGCCCCACATATTTTAAAGAAGATTAGTGGCTTTTTATTTAAATTTTACCAACAGTAAGCTTTACACTATTGATTCTTTCTTTCTATTAATGCTTCATTTTGTCACATACGAGTCCAGAGGTTTATGCAAATTTCATGTCAAGTGGCATATCCACAATAAAGGTTAAGGGAAGGTGAGAACTCATTTTAACGTGTATAGATAACTTCTAAGAGTGATCAGTTGGAAATAATTTAATTATGCCGTTAAGTACCCTTAGTAATAATAGATTATAGGGTTACAATCACATTTTTTTTTTTCAAATTTCTAAAAAATATCCATTAAAAAAGTACTACAACATTTTACAGCAATTATATTTTATAATATTGATTCTAAAATGAAAATAGTATAATTATACATTAAAGCTACAAAACAACTATCTATGTTTCTATGTTTTATAACAACAAAAAACAACAAAATGTTTATACAGCTTTCTAATTTGAAACTTTTCCAGATAATTAATCTAATTTACACCAGTTTCCTTCTCTTTAGCAAATGAGTTTACTAGTTTCAGTACACAAATGAATGTTCCCACTACTTCTCCTTCATTTCTTACTTTGTTAATGTTTCAACAATGTACCTTTGAAGAATAATTTTCTCTCTTTCTTTCTAAAATCAGTTTCTTCTTTAATGAGTTTCCTCTTCACTTTAGAATTTTCAGATTTAATTACAGATTTCTGGTATTCTAAAGAACTAATTATACTTAGAATTAATAGAAAAATTTCTAATTTTATTTCATTAATAATATGAGTATTGAGAATAAATATGAAGTGATATAAGGTCAGAGCTGGCATGAGAGCCAATGTAGCAGAATTTTTAGAGTTTAGTGAAGCACTGAGCAACAACACTTAGGGATGGCAAAATGCTTAGAATTTAGGGCAGGTACACTGCTAAAAAAAAAAAAAAAAATGGGACAGTCCTATATCTCCCGATCTACTGGGCCGATTGACAAAATTCAAATTGCGTTATTCATGTCTCGAAAGCGCGACTTAGGATATATATTAGATTTATATATAGCACTATTCTAACATAGGTATTTTGACACAAAATCGGACTTTTTCTGAAGTAACATACCAATTTTTTTACATATTTCAATTCTACGTCTCAAATTACGCCTAAATATGAAATTTTGTAAAATTTGGAGCGAAATTTACGGAGAAATTCACAAATTTATGTTGGCACTTTTTTGTCAGTTGCGCCAAGAATACTTCACTTGGCGAACTTCTTAATATATGGCAACCTAGTTTCCTTAGGAAAAAAAGTCACCATCGTTCCTTTTTTCCAAATAATATTCTTTACATTATATTTTTAATTATAACTTATTATTTTAAGTAATTTTTTCTTTTTCGAATTTCATTTTAATTGTTTAAGTTGCACTTTTTTTTTTTCGAATAACTGTTTTAAAAATTTCTATTTACCTATTCGAAACTGCGTAAATAAAGGTGCAGCGTTTATTTTTTTTTTTCAAATAGTTTTCTTTTATATTATATTTTCGTCATAGCTATTATTTTAGGTATTTTAAAATTTTATACTTTTATTTTAATTGTTTGTTGTTGCATTGTCTCTTCAGATAATTGTTTTAAATTTTCTATTTATTCCTTCGAACTGAGCATTTTAAATATATTTATTAATATCAATTTTCCAGAATTTGATTTTATTTATTTGAACTGCGTTTTTTTCGGAAGAATACTTCGTAACCCAGACTACGATGCGTTTGAAAAACTGCATACTATATTAAAAGAGAAAATACAGTAAAGCACAGTTTTACACGCCTTTCAATGTTCCGTTCAGAAAAAAAATATATATAAATAGAGAGATGTATAACCGATATTTTAACTTAGGATGACTTGCATACACTGCTTTAAACAGTTTTATCATTGTGCCCATTGCTTTACACAATTTTATCCTACATTTGGTTTCTTAAAATGTTATTCATATTTAGTCAAATATTTTATTTTGAAATCGCAAGAATCAAATATCATAAGATTGAAAAGTTTTTAAATTTAAAAAAATACGAATACTAAATTTTACGAAAAAATTTATTTTTCTTCTCTGTTTCTTTAAGCATTCTGAAAGTATATTGAAAAGTATCCAACTTTTCGAAACATTTTGGTATTTCTGACAATCATTTTAAATAAGTTATCGCCTTCCATTTCATAAGGCCCACAAACGGCCGAGTGGTAAAGTTGTGAACACTGGTAGTCACTCCGGGGTTCGAACCCCGGTAAACGAGGTGGTTGCATGGGCGTTTTCGTGGATTTTCTCATGTGTACCGCGTATGACAGCTGGTTTCCCTTAGAAAGTTCTTCACAAAGTATTTCGTCAGAGCCTTTATCAGTCTTTAGAGGCTAAACATTTTGAAGCTATGAGATGAAAGGAAAGACTGGTTTCATCAAAACGTTTTGCTTTATTTTATTATGACAAAGCACACTACGGCTATCTGCCTAAGGGGAGGGATGCCTTTCATGGAGGACTTTCTAAGGGAAACTGGCTTGCATACACGTTACACATGGGGAAAACCACGAAAACGCCCATGCAGCCAGCCCGTTCGCGGGATTCGAACCTCGGACCGAACTACCAGTGTTCAGCGAATTTACCGCTCTGTTTCATCAGACCGCCGCTGTTTCATCAGGAAGGGAAAAAAAACATCTTTAAGTGACATCCACATACATCACTGGATAAACTCCTGAATCTTCAAATAATTCGACTGAGGAAATCATGGGATTCACCATTTATGATACGATATGATGTTCTATAACGTAATTTACACAACCATATAGTTTAAAACCAGTCGCTCTTCACTTTAATCTGCAATGATATCGTTTTGTCTTTTCTGTTAACACAAGCTCAATTGATGGTATTTGCTGGTGTACTCGCCCCAGTGTTTTCTCTTTGAACACCTAAATTCTTTGAAGTATCCTGAAAGTATATTCGAAAGCGTCCAACTTTTTGAATATCTTGGTACTTCTGACAGCCAAATTTCCTGCAAATTTTTGCTTACTTTTGTCCCTAATTTTCTTCTTCCCTTCTACAGTTATTTTCAGTGCTCACACAAGAAAATTAAGATTTTTCGACTGCTAGACTTCCATACATTTTGCATTCTTGTCAATTTTTTTAAAATATCAATTATATGAATTGCGTTTCAGCTAAAGACAGCTTTCATTTTCTAGTCATTTTAGCTATAAATAAAGTTTAAAGCGAAAGTCCAAAGGATAAATATTTTAATTAAAAAGATTTTTGATAAATGACAAAGAAATAAAACAGTCCAGCAGGAGTTTATCTGTACCACGAGTAACCGATTCTTATATCGGCTGAAACAATCTAAATCATATTAAAGATCATGTATTTTTATACAATCTATAACGCGAGAGAAAAATTAGCTTCTTAAAACATGCTTTCTAAGAAGATTAATATAAAAATTTATATTTATATATATATTTTTTAAAGTTGGGACTTGAACCAAACTGTCAGACTTTTAAAGCTTATTTTACATGGTGGTTATTATTAAAGTTCCACTTTGAAATGGTCATAAAAGGAAAACTACCGGACCAAATGTTATCAAACTTGGGAATCGTGTAAAGGAGGTTATGAGAATTTATTTTCAGCGGAAAAAAAAAAAAAAGAGTTCAAAAACTCACCATCAGGGGAAAAATGGCGCTGTATACAATATTGTTAAATGAAATAAGACACGAAAACATCTGTTTAAAATGTGTTTAAATGTTGCCTAAGTAACTATGCGACACTCTTGAGGTGGTGCCCAGCCCTGCATAAAAATTGTAGTATCTAAAATGCCACGTTACTGCAGTTCATGTATCACGAAACATTTTAATATTGGCTCTAAGTGAGCTGCAATCGCAGTGGTCCAGCTGTCGACTGCTCTTCAGAAAAAAGTGGTTCAGTTATAAAACTAGCTGTCCTTCAACAGTAAACGGTGGAAAATGACTGTATGCAATCGAATGCAGTAGGAGAAGAATGCAATGGAACTAGATAGATAACATGAGAATTTCTTTGGCCCAAATCGATTAAAAGCGTTTGAATCAGTATCTTCATGTTTTAGTGCTGAATTCAGGCTTAAAAAATTACAAATTAGCAATCTGTAAGAAAACGATTTCCAGATTGTACGCACTTGTGAGAGTGATTTGCGATCTCATATTTTCTAATCACTAATTTGTGGTTTTCACGGACGAAATTTCTCACTTTACACGGATGGCGCACTTGACATTTTATCGACTTTAACATCCTTTAAACGATAATTTGCTTACTTCAAAGTTTTCTTAATATACAGGGTATACAACATGTTAAACCCGTTTAACAAAATGTTAAGTTAGATTCCGACCCATATTTCGTTCAATAATATTGCATACAGCGCCATTTTTAACCCTGGTGGTGAGGTTTCGAACTTCCTTTTTTTCGCGGAAAATAAATTCCCATG